AATGAAAGTTCGATACGTTGAAGTTGTCCGGCCAACTTCATAGAGGTCGCGACGACGCGGACGGCGGACGCGCGTGACGTCAAACCGACGTTGGCGAACCGCGCACCGCACGTCGCGCGAAATCTACGGCGCGCTGTCAGCGCTGTCATTCTCGCCTATCCCCGGCCTATCCCGATTTCCGTCATCTCCTGGGACTTGGGAGTTGCGGATCGGATGCGCGAGCCGTTATCGCAGTGGCGCGCCACGAGGTTATCGCTGACATTATGACCCGCGGTTGGTCCGTGCGTGGACGTGAACGCGTATCGCGAGATACGCGAGGGGCGACGGCGACGGCGACGGCGACGGCGACGGCGACGGCGTCGGTGGCGCGATAGAGGATTACGCACGCCGCGGCTGCTGCTGACGCGAGACGCGAGACGAGGCGTGGTGAGGTGAGGTGAGGTGAGGTGAGGTGAGGTGAGGAGAGGTGAGGAACGCGAGCTGTCCGGCGAGGCCGCGACCCTGAGCCCGATACGAAGACGCGTGCACGAGTCCGCGCGGGTGGCGGTGGCGGTGGCGAACGCGAGAGAGACAGCGAGGGAAAAGCTGCTGCTCGGCGATCGGCGATCGAGTGGTCGACGGACGAGTTTTCCGCGCGGCTGGGCGATCCTGCGAGGAGTGCGAGAAAACTGCTGCAAGCTGCATTCTGCAACTACGGTGACTACTTTGGCCGGCGCGGCGCGCGGCGGCGGGAAGAGCGGCGGGCCGGACTGCTGCTATCGCTATCGCGGGCGATCCGTCGCGATCCGAAAGGTCGCGAGTTCACGCGTACCCTCCCCGGTCGTCCGGAGAATGACGATTCGGCGGTGCGTCTGACGCGGGCGACGCGGCGGCGGCTTCGGCTTCTCGGCGACCGCGGTACGTCCTCCCAGCCCCAGCTCCCAGTGCGTCGGAGGACAACGACGAGTCGCGATCGCCGATACGATCGGCTCGTACATCGCGCGCGGACCTTGCGACGGATCCCTTGCGGCCTGCGTTAACGAACAGGAGTTCCCGAGCGGGTCGTATACTCGTAGTCGTACGTAAAGATATTTCCACTCCGATACAGTGTGTGTATGTGTGTATGTGTGCCGTTTGTGACAGATATACGGGCGTACGTTGCGTATACGGTGATATACGCTGTGTTATTCGTACGTACACGCGCGAGACCCAAGATGCCGCTCTTCGGGACTAGGAAGGACACGAACAAGAAGATCAAGAAGGACGAACGATGCATCGAGGACAAGTACATCTTGAAGGACCTGCTGGGAACGTAAGTATGTCCCTGCACCTGCACTCCCTCCCCTTTCCCTCGACCCTCGACGCGGAGGAGCACCGAGGGAACCACGTTTCTAACACATGTTTCTCTTTTGTAGTAAAACAACCACCCGGCCTCTTTAGCGGGACGTTAATCGTCGGAGCGCGTATCGCGCCGCGCCGCGCGACGCGACGTTTAACGATTGCCGGGCCAGGAGTTTAACGGATTAAACGTCCACGGATAAAAACACATTTCCTTCGCGGATTAATTTGATACAGCGCTTCAACGGATATCCACGTTCCGGCCTAATCGCCATTTACGCTTATTAAAGAGCTAATAACAGACCGAGATCTCAATCTCGCGCGTTTTTCTCTGGAAGAAAACACGTCATTACGGGAATCCACGTCCGACGGAGCGTACACATACGCAAACAAATATGAAGTCGCGATATTTTTTCCGATAAAGATAAACGGCTATCTGTCCTCGTTATACGCGTACGTATATACATATATTTACGTCAAGTTCTCCTCTCCGAATAGAAAATCCAAGTTACATAACGTTGTAGCAGTATTATTTCCACTTTTGTTATGTTTCCTGCATTCCGTTTCGCGCAACGATGCCGTGATATATTGCAAGACGTCGTCGACACGTATATCTGCGCGTTATATCTTTTCCGTGATCGATTAAGCGTTTTAGCTTCGACACTTTCGCGCCCGCCACGCGTCGCATATGCGTTGACATCTCACGTCCTGGGTGTAACGGCGTGCCGATGAGAACAGTTATGTAATATCGGGACCGACCCATCAGAAGAATGTTGACACACGTTAACATTTTTTTTACAACGCTGGTAAAACGGACGACGTGTTCGACGGTGAGAAAACGTGTTGGATGAAAATGAGCATCGTTTGAAATCCACGCGCAATATTGTTCTTCCTCGTTCCCGCGCATGTATTTACCCACAGCTCGCGTTCGATTATTTATTTTCCCCCGGTTGCAGGAACGCGATATGAGTAGTATGCATCTCGCGCGATCTCCCAGGATCATCTCCCGTCCGCTCTAAATCCGACGAAATATGACGCATATGAATACAGGATCCGACAGGCTGCCACCGCATGTCCCTTTAAACCGCAGCTTCCTCGCGTGGTTCTGGAATAGATTTCTGAATGAAAACGTCGGATTTTATAATGGCCTTTTTATTTTTAAATGAAACGATTAACTTAACGATTCAAGGTGAAGCGTGTCTCGCGACGTCAAGCTACGGTCGGAGAGAGGAAGAATGGAGATAATCTTATTTTGCGGCTGTGTGATTTTGAACGATCTTTACTTTTATACAACTTTTATTCAACACTATTTATCTGTATTGCAGACCAACTTGTAAGAATCAGTAGACTACTGGAACGTGATTCGTCTTTTCGACGCGTTCGATAGGGAGAAACCGATATCAACGTGACCGGGGAACCGGCGCGGCGCGGCGCGGCGATTGAAAAGGCGTCCGACTTTTGGACATTATATAATAGATGTGTAAATGTCTTGGCCTTCGACACGAGTCTTCCACTTGATTTCGTTTACGTACAGACAACGAGACGCCCGCGTGCTAGATGGATAAATAAAAGTGGTCGCGATTTAATCTTCCTTTTTTTTCTCGTAGACGAGCGCGCGTTAATGCGACATAACTTTCTTTCGCGCGTTGGACGCGCTTTTCATCATCAGAATACCTATCCTGCGAGCGGACGACTTTTGCGTCGACTTTTTTTCTTTTCCTTTTGCGACGTCGCGCGTAAAAAGATGTTTTTGAACGTCCCTTAGTATGCATTAAATCGCATTAAAATCTAATGTCTATGCGTCCGTAACGGCACTTTGAACGTGGTTTCTTAAACGTGCAACATACATTTTACTCTGACTAAACTTGGCGATTGTTGACTAGATTGGGATCAGCGCCGGACAAGCGCGTTGAATAACGTAAAACATTTTTCCTCGTTGTTTTCTATATCCTCGCGCGTTATCTACGTCAACTTTAAAAAAAAATGTTTAGAACGCGCGAGTCTCCTTGACACATTATTCTATAATTAAATCCATCAGTACTATTTGTCAATTATTGTGCCGTTTATGTAACAGTTTGCCAATGCATTGCAACATGACGAATATTTTATTGACCGAGGATATCGAACATGTAATACTATTTTATATTAAATGCAACGTTTCTGTCATTTTCGTAAATTTCTAGACGAATATATTGACCCGCTTACAAAATCAAACATTTTTGTTTGACAGTAAATTACCAGATAATATGAACAAGGTCGGGAACGTGTTGAATATATGTATCATCAGTTTTATTTGTTCAACATCATCTTTTTGTAAGAGCTTTTTTTTACTTTTTAAGAGAAAGCTAAAAATTTTTACATTTATTTAAAGAAATAGATTTTTAAATTTTTTATTAAACGTCCTGTTATATCGTTCCTACCTTTATGTAACAATACGTTGAAATTAAAATCATACTTGTTTTATTCACACGTTTTAAATTTGTTTATTGAAAAACTAGAAAATATAAAATGTAAAATAAATGTAAAATAATTTTTTTTTATTTTTTTAAATAATACTTTTTTTTTAATGCATTCTATGTATTTCAAAATATCCGTTATAACGTTTAATATGTATTTCATATAATACGTGTGTCGAAATTTATTATTTGTTGCATATGTGTCTGAAAGCCAGCTTATAACTGGATAACTTTTTAATCTATAAAAAGAAATTAACCATTTAATTCCACGAATAATTTATACCATTAAAAAAAAACATATACGGTCTCTGATAGTAATTAAATTTGCTTTTGACCGCGTGTGCTTAAATATCGTATTTTTCTTTGTTTAGGGGAGCATTCTCCGAAGTCAGGCTGGCAGAGAGTAAAGATAAGCCGGGTCAAATGTTTGCAGTGAAGATCATCGACAAGAAGGCGCTAAAGGGCAAGGAAGATTCGTTAGATAACGAAATCAAAGTTCTGCGAAGGTAGGACGCAAAGCGATTCTGAGAGCTGGGACATGTGTATTTTCGATAGATTTAGTTTTTTGTTCACCAGAAACTGTAAGTTTCCTTATTTATAGTATACATAGTTTTGCCTCTTGATATTTAGGTATATATTTGGAAAACTGATAATTTTGAGTAATAAAAGTACCAGTTCTCTATTATCGCTGGAATCGACCTCGATATATATACTTGTACGCATGCTTCTCTTTAACAAACATTCTTCATCTCGTAAGAATCATATTATTCTTTGAGTATCACATCCCCCTTGTAGCTTTGAGTATATCAAATAGATTCATATACCATATGGCATCGCAAGTGTAAGGCTAAAAGGTCATCGAATGTTGATTTTTGCTTTTTTCGGAGTTATTTTGTAAACCATAAGTTGTCCGATATCTATTCGATTACATTGATCGTGTGGGACAAGTATACGAGCTAATCTATAAGCTGCCCAATCATTGTGCTTTCTCACTTACACGATGTTACCATGGTGAAGCTCAACTCACATAACGTACTCTCGGAAAGATCCTTTTTGTTTCCGAGGAGCGCTGTGATATGGCACTTGGGAGTGAGCTCTGATGGCTGTCGTCTGTCCTTCTATTATCTTTGATGTTGTATGCAAATAATGTGCCTCATATATAAGCGTATACGTATACATACATACATATATATATATTGTCTCGATGCTGTTAAACATATCCCAGACATAATGCAGACTCAGAAGTCTTCTGTTATAATTCTTTATCTTTGTGGATATATGTATTTACAATGTTTCTTTCAACACTTTGGCTAGATACGTGGATACTTTTCGATGTTTATTAGCATTGAGCTCTTTCTGTCGTCCTTGATCTATTTTATTGCGACTTATATATCAGCTAAATCGAGACATGCTAAAAGAGTTGCCAGTAATTACAATAAAGAAAGATCGATGCTTAAGAATCCTGTATTGTTACGTTATCATTTATTGATCAACACTGCAGGAGTACAAGGTGCTACATCATACATGTATCATACATATATATCACACATACACGCGTACATATATTGTTCGGAGTTTTATAACTGAAAAGTTACTCTATACATCATGTTAAACGCACCAACATCGCGAAGCCGCAAAATATACATTATAACGGCAAGGTTGATGCTTTCTCTTAAATATAACGGATGTGAAACTTGGTATAAAAAATTCAATTTATGCTACAACGAAGCGTACTGGAGTTCAAATTTCACGAAAAGAAGAAATACTGCATGCATATACGTGGAAATTCATCAACATCGATCGCACACTTGATAATAGGTGTGTCGAAGGTAAAGATACATCTATTTTCATAACCACTACCACCTGCCTTTCGCGATAACGCGACACTAACTCTGCTGCACCGTGTTGTCTGTATAACTATACGTCAATTTATATCACACAAATCCATCTTTTATACATCACGCTGGGAGAGAACGGAGCTCGTCAATGGTAAAGAGTATAGAGTCAGAGACACTTTTGCGCGATCGTAAGCGATCAGCTGCTCCCGATGTAATATTATGTAATTGTGTATGGTATTTTTTATTATACTTCGTAGGTTCAGTGAAAGTGCGACACCACAGAGTGGTGGCGGATCACTCACGTCGGATAGTAGTGGCGAAAAGAGATGGTAAGTGCGGGCTCCAGAGTATGGGCACCAGCTACCTATACCGCTCTCAGTATATTCTGTATCACTCGACGAGATATGCCATACATTTTTACATTTCAGATTATGTATTGTTATATATATATATATATATATATATATATATATATATATATATATAAACAAACACAATCTGTGCACGATCTGTGCACGTCATCACGATGTAGAACACAGTTTTGGTATCCTTGTACTTGCCACCTTTCGTTAAGCGAGGATCTACTGCGAACAGATGAAAGAAGAATTTGCAAGTCTCCTCCATGTCTCTCGGGATAATTTTACGCGGAAGAGATAAACGTTGCTGCAAAGCGCCTCTGTCAGAATGCCGGTTTTACTCGTGCTAATGTATCGAATAAAACCACTTTGTGGCATTTTTCTTCTTTATGCAAAACGTACTCGAAAATAAAAACGGGACGTGCGAATGCTTCTTTTTTTTTCCAACTGCACATGCAATTTTCTGTGTGAGCTTACAATCACGTCGTAAAAGTGAACGACTCTTTAAGTGAGAATACGATATGAATTGACGATAAATAAATTTGACGACAGCCGTTAGATAATACTGCTCTAATCACAGAGTGGAATCTGATTTCGCGCGATAAGAATCGAGAGACTTGTTCATCTCGTAATATCGGTATTTAGATAAAGATTTCGTTCAGAATGAAGTGACAGTGCGTTTACATTGACATCGCGATAACAAGATATTACTCATGTTATGACGGCATGACAGCGCAATTTATGAGAAACATTTATCACATCGCAGGCATGCAGAAAATTTCAAATTTATTTCAATTATGCTTTTAAATTTTGTTTGTACGTTCTACAGCATACATAATTTCGTTTGTGTATTTATTTCATATTAAAAGTCATACAAAAGTATAAAATATTAGTAGAAAAAGATTTGTATATAATACATTAAAAAGTGAATGAATAAGATTGTAATCTGATAATTTTTTTAAATTTCAATCCAAAACTGTGTTACTTTACGTATCATAAGACGTGTTTTCTATTAAAGAAATAACGTAAGGTGCCTCATGAAAGAACGGATAAAATGTTCCACGTATCGCGAACAATCGTATCATGTACAATTTTATAAACGTGATTGCTGATTAGAAAAAGTAATGTCGCAAAAATTTGTTTGTTTATGTGATCGACAACTCATGCATAGAACAAATTTAAAAAAAGCATTAGACATTTTTATACTTATTTAACTATTTATCCAAGGAATGGCAAGCTAAAACATTTGATTTTTTTTATTCTTTAAAACGTATTGTGTTCGCATTTATATCTACGTTGATTAATTACTGCTTGCTGCATCGAAATAATCTTTTTTTTTTCCATTGATTAACACAAGTAGTTATTAATAAAACTTACTACGATTGTGTGAATTTAATTGTAGGCACTATAAAAGATATTACACGGCGTTACATTTTTAACACTACTTGTTTATTTATCATCAGATTGTCTTTATTGTAGGTTCTACAAAAATCACAAGTAGATTGCTGCATATAAATCAGAATAAATGCGCCGCGCTCTTTACGAGGAAGAAAAAAAAATATCGCCTTATATAATAACATAAATACTTCACGCTTATATATATCCCATCTATGAAAAAAAAACTTGCACATATCCACGTGCTGACTCATACGATACGATGCTCTCTAGCGTTCTTAGTGACTCGATATATGCGACAGATTTGAGCACGTACGTTGCATACGGAAGCTCGTATCTTAACGAGCTAGCTGTTTAATGAACACATTTTCTCAAGGTAATATAACGTGAAATATGTACAAGAGATAATGAAGTAAATATTCGAGCTTCACGAGAAAACAATGTGGGATAAGCTAAGTTGAGCAAAGGTTGTTACTGCGTAGAGTCATTATGAGATAATTGCGACTTGGAGAGAAAACCTCTTCCCTCTTATTCACTCATATTCATTAGACGTTAACGTGCTACATTGACGTACTTGATTACATAACACGTTGCAAATGCAGTTTGAATAGTTAATGGGCAATCCCTTATATCCCTTTTAGATCCTTGTACATATTTGGTAGATATTGCTTTGTTGCTATTGAGTAATACTTGGTAAATAGTTCGACTCTACGTGGATGTGATTGTCCCTATTTAAACAACAATCTGTGTGCCAAGTTCAAGATACAACTTTAGCAAATAGCATGTTTTATTAATATATATATATATATATATATATATATATATATATATATATATATACACACATATATATATATGCACGTGCAATTAATATTGAGCTAATTTTGCCGTGCTACTTAATGTTCTTTACCATGTTCAAGTTTATTACGATTTTAGTTTACAAGTTCCAAGATTGTTAATTATATATGTATAATATGTAAAAATTTATCAATCATAAAACAGCGAATATATTTACATATTAATTAATTATATACAAGTTGAGTCGATTATATACATTTTGAATAATGTTGTATATAGTTTTGTATCTATATCTCGAAAAATGAGAGAGTATTTTAATTTTTTTATATTTGATAATACTCACAATTGGGGAGCGTTAATCTTTTTTCAAATTTTTTATGTTACTAAACGATTGAAATTCTCATCATTAAATTATAATTTCTGCATATTGGTCTTTCTTAAGATATAGATATGGGATACGCATAATGTGTTGCTATATACAATTTATTACAGCCATCTATAAATTAAAAATTGCCAACGTTTTGTCCTTTGAACAACTTTTATCTTATTTTTATCTTACATTCTTTTAGAGAAAGACATTAAACGATACAGAGTAAACAATATAAAGTAAAACAAACGTGACTTATACTCTACTTATTATACAGTGAAGATTATTCTGATATCCGGCATATTAATAAAAATCATTGAATCAATTTTTGTTGTAAACGTAATAATAGCTTTAAATTAGAAAAAGAAAACATGATGTTATTCCAGGCTAACCCACCCCAATATCGTTCAATTGCTGGAGACGTTCGAGGACAAGCACAAAGTTTACTTAATTATGGAGCTGTGAGTACGGCGTATTTCTACTATTCCTTGATATAATATATAATATCAAAGACATCTGAGATACTGAAAAGGTGAATACTACAAATTATATAGGGTTACTGGCGGAGAGCTGTTCGACAGAATCGTCGAGAAAGGCTCGTACACAGAAAAGGACGCATCCGGTTTAATAAGACAAGTGCTCGAGGCGGTAGATTATATGCACGAACAGGGTGTCGTTCACAGAGATCTCAAGCCGGAGAATCTCCTGTATTATAGTCCGGACGAGGATAGCAAAATCATGATCAGCGATTTCGGCCTATCGAAGATGGAAGATTCTGGGATTATGGCGACCGCTTGCGGCACGCCGGGATACGTCGGTGAGTTTTTAGTGCGAATAAAGGGAATAAAGAAAAAAAAATAGAGACGGCGTTCAAGCATCGATGATCAAACGTTCACTATTTCGATGATCCACAGCACCCGAGGTTTTGGCGCAGAAACCGTACGGAAAAGCGGTGGATGTGTGGAGTATAGGGGTCATCTCGTACATCCTCCTGTGCGGATATCCTCCGTTTTACGACGAGAATGACGCCAATCTGTTCGCACAAATTCTGAGAGGTAATAACATGAATTTTCAAACAGCGGTTTGCGCTTGCGATAAAGCTTAATACGGTGTTACGGCGGTTCAGTCACTAGTTTTAGGATCGATAATCGCATACGAGAGACTTGATAAACTAATTGGATTTATAAAATATTAAGGGGGAATAGACACCTATAGAAACGAAAAAAAAAAGGTAATTTTCGGGAATTTTTTTCAGGACAACTATTGGACGTGTCGGGTCAAGGTTTTTTCTAGTTAAAAAATACACACTTTCAAGAATCTTTTAAATTTTTTTTATTAAAAAATGTTGCAAATTCACGGAGTACTGGGGTCGTCTACGGAGTGCCGTAAAAAAAGACGGTACCCAGCGGCGCTTCGTCAAAAATCATCTAAAACAAAAAATCAAACAGGAAATGAAAATAGATACTATTATCTTTGGCGTGTCGTAGCCGATTTTAAAAATATTGATTTTTTACAAAATGGCGGGCGCTTGAACTCAACGTAGCGATCTTGAAAATCGCTACGTCTTTTTTTACGGCACTCCGTACACGACTCCAGTACTCCGTAAATTTGCAACATTTTTTAATAAAAAAAATTTAAAACATTCTTGAAAGTGTGTATTTTTAACTACAAAAAACCCCGACCCGACAATTCCAATAGTTCCCCTGAAAAAAATTCCCGAAAATTACCTTTTTTTTTGTTTCTAGGTGTATATATATATGTATATATATATTCCCCCTTAAATAAATTTCAAGTTTCGCATTTTCAAGATATATTATTCTAGATTTTCTCTACAATATACGCTAATAATAAATAAGCAATTAATTTAACGCAAACAACGTACGTTATAGAAAAATAAGAGTATACGGTGAATAACAGTGTTGTTTACTTTAATTTTTAGATGCTAGAGCATTCGCTTGGTTTAAGATATTATCTTTCGCGAATGTTTATTTAAATATTTTTTTTTAATGCGCGAATGTGTGGTCGAAATAATTATAACGAACATGCTTACTATGTGCATAAGCTACTTAGCAAAGAGCTAACAAGATTATTGCAGGTGAATTTGAATTTGATTCACCGTACTGGGATGATATCAGTGCTTCTGCGAAGGATTTTATTGGAAAGCTGATGTGCGTCAATGTCGAGGAACGTTACACGTGCAAACAGGCTCTTGCACATCCCTGGTAAGAATCTTTAGAATTTCGTCAGAATGAAAATTACCGAAAGGATTTATTTGGAATATTTGCATATTAATGTAGCAGTAATAATAAAATTCTGTAATAGTCGAGTTATTTTGCAAACGCATAACAACAAGGATATGCAAAGAGAGCTTTAAACATAAACTTTAATGTATCTCTGTATCTTAAAGTTGCATGGATATTGCAGAAACTGAATTTGTTAATAAAATAAGATATATATTGTATATGGACTAAGTAAGTAGATGATACACATATCTGTTGAATATATGATATACCTATGTTATCCCTGTTTGTGTTTAAAGAATAGAGTAATTCAATGATTATATCAAATAATAACATGCTCTGTAAAATCAAATAATTTATAACAATTTAACAAAATGTGAACACGTGGACAGACTTACTGATAGTTTTAAATTACATTGTTATATGGCGCACTGAGCTCGTTATTACGCATCGTTTTAAAATACTTTTACATTCATTTTTTTTTTACATACACGCACATACTTACCAACTATTCATGCGTAATATAAACAACTAAACAACATAGCACATGAATGATCTATAGCACGTTGTAATACAATATTAATATTTTCAGGATTT